TCCCTCTGGGGAATCATCACCCCGCCATAGTGGCGGGCAATGAAAGCTTTGAACACATTGGTGCACTCCGTGTCCGGCCCAAAAATCCGCTCCTCCTGGTTGACCGGGTTAAGAATCCGCCCGACCACGTGCAGTGGGCAAGCCATACTCTCATCCCAACGCCGCTTCACAATCTCATTGACGCCCTTCTTGTCTCCCGCACTCAACACCCCATCCCCCTCCTCCTTCAGCAGTTCTGCCACATTCACAGTGAGCTCAAGCATCAGCTCATAGATGCGGCCCATCATCCCTTTCGTTGCCGAATCCGTCGCCCTCATGGCCTTGAACGGGAGCAGGAGCAGCCTCTTGAAGAGCTCAGCCGCTGGCCACCAGTCCTTATCCATGATCTGGTCGTGGAATGTCTCTGCAGCTGCCTTCTTTGGGCCCACCGCCCACTCCGCCTTCCATGCATCGCAGAGCACCATGGTCACCAGCGTTGACCGCAACTCCACCAGGCGGGACACAGCAATGTGCTGCGTCCCAAACCTGGTCCCCGCCGGCCTCAGCATCTGCAGCCCCTTCCCTCCGTCCACACCCCTGAGATACTGTCGGGTCCAATGGTGGCTGCGGGTGTAGTTGATGAGCTCGCTCGCCCGCCCCACTACCTCCTTGGCCCAAGCCTGCCGTCCCACATCCTCCATAAGGAGGTCGAGCACGTGCGTCGCACACGGCACATGCTCGATGCGCGGATTCTCTGCAATGAGGAGCCGGCAGGCGCTGTGGTAGTTGCTGCCGCCATCGGTGCAGAATGCCACGATGTTCTCGACCCCAACCTTTTGCAGGATGGGCCGGAGGAGCCGGGCGATGTATCCCCCGGTCTTTTTCTCCATCTTGCAGTCAATACTCTCGACGAACACTGCGCCGGTGTCATTGACCAGCATCACATTCGCCTGCGGCCTGCCACACTTGTCGGTCATCATGTCGCTGGCAATCGTCACGCCGTGGCGCTTCCAGCTCGACATGACGCCCGTCAATCCCTCGTCAATCCGCTTGCGGCATAGCTGCAAGCCGGCACCACCCACGTAGTCGCGCTTTGGAGGCACATAGCTGGTCCCCGCGCGCGCGATGGACCGGACGGCGTTGCGCCAAAGCGGGTGGTCGGCATGGCGCTCGGGAAGGCGGAGGCCGGCAAAGAGGAGGCAAATAGCCTCGTCCGCCGCCGCCTTGGCCGCTTGGGCGTCATCGGACAGGTAATCGGTGATCTTCCGCTTTCCTCGACCACTAACGGCGTCGAGGGCCGACTCCTCCGCCCTATGCGCCTCCTCCCTCGCGAGCACTTTGGCAGTTTGGAACGCGCGGACGGCAGCCTGCTCCTCCTTCCCTACCTCCTCGCATTTCCGAACCTCGCGCCTACGCATACCATCCCAACTAGTGATGTGCTGTGCGCAGCGGTAGGCCGTCCCGGTAAAGGATACGGGGCAGTACTTGCACCAATACTTTTGCTGCTTGCCGTGCTCCTTATGCTTAAACTTGAAATGCTTAAAGATAGCGTGGGTGGAGTTCTCCAGGAGCTCGTCAGAGGAAGACGCAGCACAGGAGGTTCCCGCGTCGGTTCCGTGGGAACCAGGACTAGGTGAAGGGTTCGACATAGCAACAGTCGCTAAAAAACCAGCTAGCTAGTCGCGCTAGCTTGGAAGAAGAAATGACTGAAGTTAGCGCGCCAGTTTACTTGTACCCTGATTTCGTCGTAGGAGTGAACTGCGCTGAACCGTGCTGGAGTAGAGTAGAGAGGGAGAGGAAGGAGATTTCTTTGGGTGTTGTTTGGAAGTCGCAGATTGGGTGGGATGCTGTGTGGTTGGGAGGGGCGAAGGGGTTGGGTTGACGATTTGAAAAGCCAAATTTCGGTTTGCGACATGGCGAAATCCCTGTGGGGTTTCGTCATGTCGCAAATTTGTCGCATCGTTTTTTGCGTATTTCTTGCCGGGCTGCCCGCCAAGAAATACGCTAGCGTATTGCGTACTTAGCTAGCGTACAGCGTATTCGTATTATACGCTAGCGTATGTACGCAATACGCTAGGCTGCCCAAGCGTATTTCTCCACTTAGGTCCCACGGCACCGGTGATAACCTACAAGAGGCGGAATGGACAAGGGGGTAAGAAGGGTAAGGAGGAAGGATAGTTGAGGAGAATGGGAGAAATGGGAGAAGCACGACACCGGTTCATAGGCTTCTGGAAGAGTTTCGCATCCAATAAGCCTTCCTTCGAAAAACAACTCCCCTTGAAGAAGGTAATATCAAGGAAATCCAGAGTCTACTGGTCAACTTGATGCAGCTTTCTGAATTGGAGCCGAAATTCGTCGAAAGTAGAGGGGGGGGCATCCCAGAGGATAAGGCCATCGTCGATATAATGAAGGTGGAGTGCTGGTATGTGACTGATGACGCGACTGAGTTTCAGATCCAGGTAGCTCAGAAACAGGATGGCGAAGAAAACTGCTGCAGAAGTACTCATAGCAGTACCTTTAATCTGGCGAAAAAATCTGCCGTCGAAAGTCACGTAACTGTTAAACATTACCGAGCGTAGAAGGCGGACAATAAGAGGGGCAAGCGGGTGCCTGTCTCGCCGAAGAAAAAAATCCACTGCTTCAATCCCGTCCCAAAGCGGGATCGAAGGATATAAGGCTTCCACATCGTATGAAGCCAGCAGGTGATAGGATGGTAGTCTCTAAGTTTCCAGCAGAAGTAGTAAACTCTGCGAATCCTACAGGTACGTTGGCTGACAGGTAACCAGAGGCTGTAAAACAGCATCCAGCCAACAGGAGACATTAGAAGTGACCCAGCAGTGAGAAGCCGCGATCGGTCTTCCCGCGAGGACCTTCTTGTGCACCTTGGGAATGGTGTAGAAAGCCGGGACTTCCTAGCCTCCTGTCGGCGGTGCAAGAAACGATTTCCAGATTCTCGCCTTAAGCAGAGGCTGGTAGTCTGCTTGAATGCCATAGAAGTCTTTCACAATTCCAGTAATCAGGACTTCTTGGTATTCGCGATAAACCTGCGTATCCAGGAGATGTTTAAAACACGTCTTTATAGAAATCCATGACAGCCAAACCCAGGTTCTTTTCGGCAGGTTTGAAGACCAGATTCTGGTTCAAACCCAGTCGCCGAAGGGCTGGTAGCAGTTTAGAGGTTCTCCTGGTATACTGTTGTTCGGAAACTGCTTTCACGGCTGCATGCTTGAAGAGTGAGAGTGCTGTTTCCACCTCAGCAGATGCGAGGGGAGGATTCCAGTTCAGCCGTTTGGGAAGCTTGTAACCGGGAAATTCAGATTTCATTGCATCACCGTTGAACAAGGTTGTCGTACGGACGTCTTTAACGAGACCTTCTAACTCTTCAGCGAAAGAAATGATATGACGAGCAGCTGGAACAGGGATAAAGTTGAGACCCATGCCGAGGATTTCTGCTTCAGTGGGAGAGAAATGGTAACTGGAGAAGTTGTGGTAATCCTTGTTGCTGACGCGACACTGCACTTGACTCTCGGTCTTACGACCAAAAAGAATCAAGACGTATTGATGGACGTCCGCGACTAAGGTTTCTTCCCCTTTCCGCGGCCGCTTCCGCCATTTTTTGACTGGTGATTCTGTTTCTGCTTCTGATTCTGATCCTGCTTCTGCTTCGGATTATTATTCCTGTGAGTAGAAGAGTTAGAAGCCTTGGAAGAAGGAGCAGCATACGGATTCCTGGAAGAAGAAGCGACATTGGAACCTCTGAAAGGGTTTTCCTGAATCGGCTTCTTCCCCTTGTCGAGCAGACGGTTGGGCTTGTTGACAGGTCCTTTAGCCGGTCCGGGACGTTTGTTTGAAATCACCGAAGACGCGCTAGTCTTCTTAGCAGTCTGGGACTTTGTCTTCTGACTCTGCTTCTGCTGTTTCTGCTTCTTCTGCGGGTTGAACTTCTTGTTGAGGATTTTATCAGCTTCGTGCTTGACGATTTCTCGAATTGAAGTGTCAACCGGTAAGGTTTCAGCTTCTGCAGGGGCTGCCTTCTTCTTTGCATCAACCTCCTTGGCTTTCTCCGTCTGGTGGACTTCTGCCATAAGAGCGTCAGCAAGGTACAACGACATCGAATTTTCAAATTCGGCCAGAATCGTATCCTTGAAAAAGGTGAGTTTGTCGATGAGTTTCGGGTGCTTGTCTCCGAAAGTGCTGGCCTTGGTCAGATCGATGTAGTTATTCAGCTTGTCTTGGAGCCATTGATGAACTCCGTTGGCGTCATAGAGAGCTTTTTCGGCAGCCGTCTTCTTCTTTTGTATCATAATCCCTTCAACGTTGCCAAGATAGGCCTTGCAGGCAGTATGAAGCTCATTATTGGCTCCGATCTTGATGTCTTCATAGGGACACATGAAGTCGAAGGATTTTATCCGAATGCTGTGAGGAATGTCGCCAGACTTAGCTTGCGCATCCATAATAAGATGCTGCTGAGACAAACTTTGGTGCTTTGCGGAATTCTTCTTGAAATCTGTGATAGCTTGATTCTAAGAATCGTTGAAGCACGGAGGAATCGGGTGCTTGTCGAGAATAGAATGATCGACGTCTCCAAGGAAGGAGAATCCGTCATGACGACATCCTCTGGAGAGGAATCCATAGGAATTGAAGCCTTCGGTGCGTCATTGAGTGGCATGGTGGCCGTTCCAGCAGGAGCTTGCTCTGTAGGACAGGCACGCTTCTTGTTGGGCTGGACGGTATTCGTCGAATCATCTTCACCAAATACAACCTGCTCAGTGTTAGCTGGAAGATCGGGCAGTTGCCCTGATGGTCCAGGGTACTTGGTTGATAGTTGGATTTGGAGTGGTTGAACCGGCCAGCGCAGCGGCGATGTAAGGAGCGAGACCAATGGACCCATGTTTCTCTGGGTTAACCAAGGTGGTAATAGCCTTGCGAGCCAACGGTTCTGACACCCTCTCCCCCCCCCACCCCCCACCCCCCCCCCCCTCTCCCCCCTCCCCCCTCCCCCTTGTTTTGCTTGTCTCCAGAGATCTTTCCCACAACCGGCTCACTGGTCCCGTGCCTGCTGCCCTGCCCTCGTCATTAGACACCCTGTGAGCCAAGTGAACGCGGGTCTGTGAGGTGCTGGAGGGAGATGGGAGGAGGGTGAAGGGGGCATGCTGCTAGGAACAGAGCTGACTCTCTCCACTTCGGAATTGTCCTGTTTCAAATTCATTTCCACTTCAGGAATGTCCTGTTCCAAAATTCAACCTTACATAGAATCTGGATAAAGATCACATCGCTGTCATTTCCACTTGACGTGACGTGTGCAGCACATATGCAAACATTGTGCAAATTGTCTGAACAACCCATGGCCCCATTCCACACCTTATCGTTTCTTCAATACACAAGAATCTTGAAATGCACGTTTGGAATTGACCCCTTCAGCCTGCTGGATCACAACAACCTGGGCTCCATACCTGACTTCTCTGGTGGATCGGTCGTCTCTCACATGTGAGTTGCCTCTCTGCACTCAATTGATTGATTCCCCCTCCCTCGCCCAGTTGGGAAGGAAGGAATCTGAACAGAGCAGCGAGCTCTCTCCTCGGGCCACAGTCACGTCACATCACACAGCCACACTGCTCCGGGGGAGAGGCGGTGTCACCTCTTCTCTCCCTCTCTACTCCCCCTCAAGCGTTTGGAGGGGGTCCTAGGGGTGCGCCACCTCGTTACCCTTTCATGCCTAACATGATGCGCGTTCACTCGCCTGGCAGTGTTGGAGCATCCCTCTCACTCTCACTCTCGCCCTCTCACTCGCCCTTCTCCCTGCCCCCCCCCCCCCCCCCAAACGCCCCCTGCTCCCTCTCTCATGGCAGGGACCTGAGCCACAACAAGCTGTCAGGATCCATCCCAGTGTCCATCTCACGGCTGAGGTCCCTCTCGGAACTGTGAGTCAAGTGCACCCCACCGCTCCCACCTGCAACTCACACTGCAAATCACGGCTCTGAAACATTGTTGACCAACGGCTTCGACTAGGCTAGGAATTGAAGGGAGCTTGTTACCAGCAGCTGCGATGCCATTGTTGTACGTGCCCGCCTGGTGATACCCAAATGGTGTGTGACGACAATGCTGTACATGAACAGAAGCACGTTGCTATGAAATCTCACTAGTGAGACCAACGGACCCACATTTCTCTGGGTTAACCGTGGTGGTAGTAGCCTTGCGAGGCAACGGTTCTGAAAAAAGCTCGAGCTGTAGGGATGCTCAGAAAGTTTTCGATGGAAAACCTGTGATGAACTAGTTTCGGCTTATACAAGCCTTCATCAGCATCTGCTGAACATCAGAGCCTTGAGCTGTTAAATAGTGGAAGTGCGACCCGAGAAAATCTCGAGGGTCCACACCATCCCCGAGGAGGGGCCACTGTAGCCTAGCAATAAACTAGATAAGCGTAACAAAATCGAAACACTAAACTAGCATTTTCTTGCGGCGACTATAAAATCCTTGATCTTCTTTGGCAGCTTCCATGCGATTAAAGCATGTTGGCTGGAGAATAAACCCTGTGTCAGCTTGTCCAGGTGTATTTTGAGTCGACTCAAAATTGGCCCGAGGTCCGAGCGCTCCACAAGAGGATTGAGGAGGCACTTCAAGACCAAGGGGACACGGTCGGATTTGGTCCGTAGTTCAGCGGCACATCGGAGAAGGTTCGGTCAGAAAAACTGACTCGTTTGAAGATCTGTAGAAGGAATCGTTCCGGGTAACCCCAGGTGCGAAGACGGGCAAAGAAGAGAGCACAAGCAGCGAAAAAGTCAGCTCGGTTCGTGGATCGAAAAAGTGTTCGCCATAACTCGCTGGAAATCCAGATTCGAGTGCAGCCGGTTGAGGTCGCGCTGCTGCCGTGACAGAAGGAGGAAACCCAGATTCGAGTGCAGTGCGGGTTCTCCGAGTCGGAGGATTACGACCTGTGGAGTTGGTCTACAAGGTCGGAGCACAAATCGATGCATGGGGAGAGAAGCTGATCTTTAGAACCGAATATTGGAAGGAGGGCGGGGCGCAGGGAGAGCTGCCAGTGCGATTTGTGAAGATGGATCCAAGAAAGGCCCTGCAAGCCACAGAGCTACAGCAAGCAACAAAGGAGGAGAGAATGGCGAAGGGCACGAGAGCAGCCGAAAAGGGAAGTATGGAAACACGGAGACAGCAAGCAGGAGCAACGCTGGGCGAACGGCCAATTACGATAGTGGAACTCTTTGGAGGAATAGGAGCGGGATTAGCAGCAGCGCTGGAAGCACGATTGGTCGTTGGTGGAGATAGATCCGAAGGCCAGGCGCATGGCCTGGCATTAGACATGGGCAGCATGCCGAGCCTGGCTCGACTCGGCTCGACTCGACCACGAGCCAAGTAAAAGTCGAGCCGAGCCGGCTCGGCTCGACCCGAGCCGGCTGCCCGAAAATGGCTGGCTCGACTCGGGGTTCGAGGGTCGAGCCAAGGACCGGCTCGACTTTGGCTCGGCTCGGCTCGACTCGACAGAGTAGTGATGGTTAGCGTTCTTGACTAGAGTAGAAAGTAGGTGTTTGGCGGACCTAGAAAATCTAGGTCCTAAACAGAAATCGCCATCGCTAGTGTACCCTTAAAACGTAATTTCCCTGATAACCTAAAACACTCTAGTTAATGTCTGAGTGAACTTACGGAGTGAGATTAATGGGGCTTAGGCATGCTCGGCTGGCGTGGTGGGCGTAGGCAGCGCTTAGAGTAACTGGAAATCGAAAACCAGAAATGGGTTTTCGATTTCTAGCCGGGGCCTAGCTGCGCAACTCGACAGTCGAGCCGAAAACGAGCCGGCTCGACTTCGGCTTGCCCAAAAAATCCCGACGAGCCGAGCCGACCCTGCGCTCGACCCTGAACCCTCGAGTCGAGCCAACCATTTTGGGGCTGCCGGCTTGGGTCGAGCCGAGTCGGCTCGGCTCGACTTTTGCCTGGCTCGAGTTCGAGTCGAGCCAGGCTCGGCATGCTGCCCATGTCTAACGTCAGCTGAACGAGGCAACTGTATGGGGATGGGTTCAATAGATCTGGTGGTGGTGGGCTGGGAGTGCCAAGGCACCTCAAGAGCCGGAAAAGGGCGGAGAATGGGAGATGCGCGCACAGCGTTATTGGACAAGCTTCTACAAATGCTGAAGTGGATCAAGGAAGGGGGATCAAAAGGTGCTGTTATGTGGTGGAGCATGTAGACATGGAATGGGACCCGCGAGAACCAGTGAGAGCAACGCAAGAGAAGGTAGTGGCGGAGCTAGGGGCAGGCATAAGTTGGGATGCTGCACTGAATGGTGCAAGGGCACATCAGGTGAGAAGGTATTGGCAAAACGGAGTAGTGCCAGAGAAGCTGAGACTAGGACTAGCCGACCTGAGGAGAGATCCAAAACTCCTAGTGGATGACATACTGGAGCCAGGAAGAACGTCGGCTCCTGTAGAGAAGAGAGACCACCCAAAGCAGCTGCAATGCAACAAGCTAGGCGAGCCGAGAAGGGCTTGGCCTACCTTGGTGGCCTAGGAGGGAGCACGTGGGTTTGTGCTGGAAGATGGCAAGCCAGGGCCAGGCATGGTTTATGACAGAGAGAGAAGGCAGCGGGAGGAACCAACGTCGGTCGAGCGGGAGTTGGCAATGGGCTACATACCGGGGGCAACAGCAGCACGAGGATACAGGAGCAAGAGCGCAGGGCCACCCTGGGGCGGGCAATGGATCAGCATGCACCACAGTGGCTGTTGAACGAGATAATGCAGCAGCGGCACAAAAGGGAGTCGAGCCAGCAGCAAGCAGGAGAGAGCAGTAGGCCTATCAAAGCAAGCCGAGCATACCTGACGCAAGAAGAAAAGCAAGGAGAGGCAATAGAAGATAAAGGCAAGACCACCTTTCATGGAGTGGACGGCCTGTACGAATGGAACGTGATGCCGTTCGGGCTAAGGAACGTTGGAACGTGTGTTCCAAAGAGTCATGGATCAAGCGTTGAAGGCAGTGCAAGCAGCAGCGTGCTACATTGACGACGTGGTGATCTTCAGCAAGAGTGAAGAGGAACATGCCGAGCACCTGGAAGCGACATTGGACGCTATAGCAGACGCAGGGCTTACTTGTCACCTGGAAAAATGCAAGATAGCCAGAAGAACAGTCGCCTACCTGGGATTTGAAGTGCAATGCGGGATGGGGATTCAAGAGGCCAAGGTGGCAGTGCTAGTTAAGCTCGGGGCACCAAAAGACAAGGGAGCACTGAGAGCACTCCTGGGGTTCCTGAACTATTACAGGCGCTTCATCCCCAACTTCAGCAAGAGAGCATACAGGCTGAATCAGCTGCTGAGGGGCAAGAAGTGGGAACCGGAAGAGGAGCAGGCGAGAAGGGATTTGCTGGAGGCCATCAAAGCAGGAACGGTACTGCAGCTGCCAAAGAAAGACGCCCCACACGGATTGGAGCAGCAATGACAGAGGATGCGGCAGCAGTGACTGCAAGGGCGAGGAGTAGAGGAGGGCACTATCGATGGTTTCAGAGTCAGATGCAGCTGCGCACGACGGAGGGATGGAAAGTGGTGCCTAAGCCAGAAGTGAGAGAGAATATCGTGCAGCAAGTGCACGAAAAGCTGGGGCATTAGGGGGGAGCCAGGACAAGGCAGCTACTATGCACTACCTACTGGTGGGCAGGAATGAGAAGAGACGTGGCGCAGTGGGTGCAGGTGTGTGAGGTATGCCAGCGAAACAAGGCAGTGCTGGAGAAGGGCAGGGAAGACTGCAATCACTGCACATACGCGGCTTAGGATTCAGGTGGTCCTTGGATCTGGCCGGGGAATTACCGTTGTCCAGGCAAGGGAAGATGTACATTGTCGCGATGATAGAGCATACGACAAAGTGGGTGGAGGCAAGGGCCATAGCCAGCAAGAACAGTGGGCTGATCCGAGAGGCATTTCTGGACCAAGTACTCACCAGATTTGGGGCATGCGGGGAGTTGCTGACAGATCAAGTCACGGAGTTACAAGGCAGCTTTGCAGAGCTCTTAAAAGAAGTAGGTATCACTCAAAGAGTGACATCGCGGTACCATCCTCAGTCCGACGGGTTGACAGAGCGGATGATACAGACGATCTAAAGAGGATTGCGGGTGTATGGAGAGCAGAAGAAGAGAGAGTGGGATGCTGAGCTGCCATGGGTGCTGGCGGGCTATCGGTTCGCAAAGCAATCAGCTCTGACGGACATGTCCCTGTACCACTTGCTGTACGGAAGAGAGCCAGTGCTGCCCGTGGATGTGCCCACGCTCCTCACTGAGTCAATGAAGGAAGAGTCGGCGGAGGCATGGGCGGCGGCGGCTGTGCGAAGAGGGGAGTACTTTAAAAAAAAGTTGATGTCGGCAGCGCTAGAGAATCTGCATACAGCGCAGCTGAGAGATGCACGCAGATACCGGTGATAACCTACAAGAGCTTGGTCCCACGGCACCGGTGATAACCTACAAGAGCTTGGTCCCACGGCACCGGTGATAACCTACAAG